AAGAAGTGGCTTTCAATAAGCACTATACAAAAAAGAGAGAGGGGAAAGATGGAGGCCATTTGACAAATTCCAAACTATGGGGTTTTTAAGGGCTGAAGGCATGTCCCAAATAGCAGAGGGGAAAGTAAAGGCGGAGGACTGGAGACTTCTGGAGAAAGATGTAGAGATGGCAGATGGTAGAGGGGTATGGCTAAGTAGAGACTATAAAATGTGGATGAGAAAGTGAGTTGGGCATCCTGATTGGACGGGGAGCTAATGTAGAAAGGTGATGGGCATGGGGAATCTAACAGGATAGCATATTGACAGTATATTTTGGACAAGCTGATGCTTATGAAAGGCTAAGTCAAATGGAGAGTTTTGACAGGGCAGAGGGAGTACAGCTTGGAGCCAAGCAGGATGCTGAAGTTCAAACTTCAGTAGTGACTGGATCGAGGAAAGAACATGGTGGAATGGTTTGAACCTCGTGCAGAACTTTATCAGCATCTTGTTACAGACCTTTTCTATTTACCCCTCCTGGACTCACTATGCTTGGTTTGCATTTAATTTTTATTTTCATTTCTGCTGCATTCATAATCTTCAGTTTTTCCCCTCTATTTCTCAAATTTAAAAAAAATGTTAAATTGTTTTCTAGTCATATAACACACTAACTTCCTGTAAATAATAGCAGACATTTGATTTCTTTGCCTTCATCTTCTATCTTGGTTGTTCCAATTTCACCAAACTGTTTAATCGGGTCAATTTCTTAGAAGTCACATAGTTCAAACTTATTTGGATTCTGAAGAGGAGTCAGTTTAGACTTGAACTGTTAACTCCCATTTCACTCTCTGCAAGTGTTGTCTGGACATCAATTTATCCAGCACTTTGTTTTTATTTCAGGACTTCAGCTTTTATTTACACTTTTATCAATGCCTGTAATCATTTCTGATGCTGTATGACCTGCCACTGTTTTCAAGCATTTCTAGTTTTAATTACTCACTTACATTGACTAATTTTTTCTTCTCCATTAAAGCAAGGCAATAGTAAGAAATATACTTCATGACCAAACAGCTTTCAAATAATTGGCCACATAAAATATGGTCCGTATTTACATGATACAGAATGAAAAAAAATTTGTAACTTCAAATGCAGATCCATAGATTACTCTCTAGCTAGATTACTCTCTTTACAAATACAGCAGCTCTTTCATTATCACAACTGATTGGTTGTGATGAAATATCGCATTTGAAAACTAAAAAAATGTACTGAACCTTCCAGTCTAATCATAACTTGCTGCCTCCAACAAAAACCATGCCACCCCATTGACTTCAGCAAATGGATGATCCGAAGACACGGAATTGAAAGGATTACTGGAGATGGGTCAAGTCCCCCTTTAACTGCCATAATGAGCACTGAAAAGTCTCATTTACCAAATCCAAGTGTGTTGGAACATGAGTCGTTGAACTACTAACGCCAATGGGAGAGACTGATTCATCACAATATTGTTTTGTTTTCCAGAAGATGTAATGTTACATTAAAGGGCAATATTGTAAGGCTTTCCAGGCCTGAAACAATCTCCAACCTAATCACCAAAAACACAAGGCCATGACTATGTCATTCAATTTTCTGTAACTTGGCTTGTTATCTTATTTACAACAAAAACCTATCAACAAGTTCTAAAGTATCTTGTTGGCTGCATATGAAACATTAAGGGAGTTAGATAGTCCTAGTTCATAATCAGTTATAAGCCACTTAGTCTAACTCACTTGAGGTGAGTGTCAAAATAAACAAGCTCAATTCAGATGTCTCCGATAAAGGGTTGAATTTTGCCAATTAAAGACCTCCACTGAGAAATCAATTATCTGAATAGGCGCACATGATTTGCTGTGAACTGCTCAAAATATCATTTTAGTATTTTTAAAATGTTAAGTGTTTCAGTCCAAAAAGAATGCAAATGAACTATGATCTTAAATTGACTGATTTATTGATTCAGCATGATTTATGCTGATTTTACACATTTGAAGATATCAGTAATATTAAAACTAAGCAATACCTTTAGAAAAATGAGAATCTCAAAATTTTGTAGCAGAGGAACCCACACAGCCCATTGTGTCATCTCTCCAAAAGGGCAACATACTTAAATTAAATTTATATTTAATTATTTATCCAATTCTCTTTGAATTCTCTAATTTTGTTTCGACAACCATTTCATAGACTTTGCATAATATTTAACCAAAATATATGTTCATTAGATGAATTGCGAATTTTTTCCATTTTAGATATTTTCTGATCAAACTGGTCAGAGATGTTGTTATACGCCTCTAGAGCAGGTGGGACTTGATCCTAGGCTTCCTGGCTCAAAGGTGTGGACACTATCTCTGGGCCACGACAGCCCTTGTTTTATTCAGTTTTACGGCTGACAAATCTGAGCGGATTTTTTTCTTCTCCTTTTGCCTCACTAAAAATTCCTCAAATTTTAACACCTCTCTCACTGATACCTGTGCAATCATCCGTTTCATGATAACGGCCCCAAGCTTTAACATTATCCTGTAATTTCTGGGAATTATTGATGTCCTCATCTGCATGGCACCCCTTGGCAGCATTTGGGCCATCTTTCAAATGTCCACTAATAAGACCAGGGTTCCACTGCTCCAACTTTCTTGATGGCTCCTACAGTCATTATTTGATTGCATGCCTGACTTCCAGTCTTGAATGAGCTATAAGTATTTTTGAATTCATTCTTCAGATATGGCCGTAACTTACAGACCTGCATTACTGATGACTTTCTTTTTAAAGAACATGATAGCAGCTTGCCTTCTTGAACAATTGCAATTTGTGTATTAAAGATGCTCTCACAATACTAATAGGTGTGTAGCTCCAAGTTTTTAAAAAGCGCCAAAGGAACAATTTAACTCAAAGTCAGCATGGTATCCAGCATGCACATGAACACAGTGAATGTGGTTTTGAGAGATGCTCTGAAAGCAGCATCTTGGAGCTGACCACTGTTAGTGATGGAGAAAAAGTTTTTGATTAAGTGCTGAATGGTAGTTTGTGTGTAATGCTGTCCTGAGGAATTCCTGAAGCTGTGTTCTGACTTCAAGATAGATGGCTGTCTTCAACAACTATTTTCTCTTGTGCCAGTATGACACCCAGCTACTAGAGTGTTTTTCACTGTTCCCAATTTTGCCACCTTTTCTAGTAATCATTTGCATTCTTCAGGCATTGATATCAAAGGCAGTCATTCTGCCTTCACCTCTGGTATTCAGCTTGTGACTATATTTGGACTTGTGCTACAATGAAGTCTGCAGACAAGCGGTTCCAGCAGAACTTAAATTGATAACGTGCTTTCACTGATGCTTAATCATCAGGCACCACTTCACAGCACTGTTGACAACTCCTTCCATCATTTTGAAGGAAATTATAACTCGTATAATGAGCTGATAATTAGCCAGACTGTCCTGTGTTGTAGACATAACATACAAATTGCACAATTGCCCAGGTATGATAGATGTTGAAGCTTTATAGCGTACTGAAAAGATTAGTTAGGATCTGGAATACAGATCTTCCACTACAACTAGGATTTGTTGGAATTGAAAGCCTTTATTGTATCTGATTTCCTCAATATATCTGAGATACAAACATGAAACTGCAATCATCTGTCCTGTTAGAAACTTTATACCTTTGCCGCTGTTGTCATGTACCCTTTCCCCCAAATAGCTCAGAATCAACTAGATTGTTTGCAATTTCATTGTCCTGTTATATCTGTGTTGAGCTTCTGACTGACCATCACAAAGACTTCTATCTCTATCTCAGGCCATGCGAAAGAATGAAATCTTAATCCACATTTTTGTTTCCTTCGTATAACTGTTCCAAAACTCCTCTTCTCCACCTTCCATAATCTCCAGTAGTCAGCCTGGCTCCTCGTCCTCCAACGCCTCATATATAAAAATCAATATCCTCGTGTTTAAATCTCCTAACAGTCGTGCCTCTTATCTCGATAACCTCCCCCAGCTCTGCCAGAAACCTCCGCTCATCGATCTCTCGCCTCTCGTACAAATGGTGGACCGTTGGTGGCTGCCTGGTCGGGCCCCTACTCACTGGAATTTTTCTTTCCCCTACCAAACTGCTAGTCGTCTCTCTAATATCCCCTTCATTAGTCCGGAGTTCATTTTTTTCAGATTACTGTCAGGTGGGGATTTCCTGAACGTTTTGTCTCAGTAAAAGGCCAGATGTAAATTAAATTATTTGCTGTTGCATTATAATCAGGTTATTTAAATGAAACGAAAGTGTTTATCTGCTGGGCCGGGTTTGGTTTTGGATGGATTAAGGAGCAGCAATGCACACTCTCCATTTCCGGGTGCCGGGTCTGAACTCTCCGCCTATGAAAAGCGGACACACATACATCGGACGGAGGAGGCAGGTCCGGGAGATGAAACCGGCTAAATGAATAGAAAATACGGAACAAGACGGCGCTAAACTGTATAAACCAAGGCGAGCAAACGCCCGTTAAACTCCATTTTATTTTGTCTTAGTCAAAAGCCCAGCGGCAAGGCGAGCCCCTTGGGGGGGGTAACGGCCTTGGGCCGCAGTTCAGAGAGCGGCGGTACAGACAGGGCCTCTCCCCACCTCCCAAACACACACCCCGGCCCACCTTCAGACTGTAGCGGACCCGCTCTCCCCTCCTTCTCCAACCGGCTTTAAACGGCGGGGGCGGGGGCTCGCTCCGATTACACAGATTGAACCAAAAGTCAGTAAAGGAACGAGGCACTCACCAGCAGCAGGAGGATGATGATGTGCCGAATGGAGTGAAAGTGTTGCAGAGGCGTTGTAGATTTCATGGTAGTGGTGAGTGAGTGGACTGGTCGGCCGGGCTCCACACTGCTTCTCCCCTCTCTGCTCCACTTACACCGCAGGCCACCTCCGGAACCACAACCCGCTGCTTCGAGACGGGATGAGGAAACAATGCACAAACACTTCCTGCGCTACCGCACAGCATCCCGGGAGTTGTAGTTTCACTGCCCCCAACGCCACGACCTGTTTGAGAGCAGCATCTGGAGCAGAGAGACTACAGGGACCAGCATGCAGTATTCGGCCGGCGCTGGAGAGTGGAGTTTGGAAATGTGTAATTTGTTGTAAATAAAATAATATTTTAATTAATTGCTGGAGGGAGATTAACGCCTTGATTCTATTTTTTCCTCCCGGACACTGACGAGGGAAGTTGTCTATGTTGTTAGACAAATGAAGGAGTAAAATGAAAAGAGCTCGAAGTTGAAAACTTTTCTCCTGGTTTTTTCTCCCCCGGGCCTTTCGGCAACTGTAGGTAAACACAGTCCAACTATTGAACTTGTGAGATAATGATCATAAATGAAAGCTTTTTAATTGTTTAATTCGAAAGTGAAAAGAGCTTGTAACATAGTTCGCGCTTTTGGTGTTCAAAAGATGCGTAGCATAAAGTTGGTAAATTGTTATATTTGGCTAAGGAGAAAAGTACAGTTATTTGTTTCTGGATATAGTCATATCGATGGAATGATAATATGTTTAACATGCCAAACATTCTTAAACTTAATAGTTCGATGGGACTAGAATATGAGGACAAGTACAAACCACAAACACTTGGTGAAGAGATAGCAGGAACTGCAGATGCTGGAGAATCTGAGATAACAGGGTGTAGAGCTGAATGAACACAGCAGGCCGAGCAGCCTGCTCCTCTGATGCTGCTCGGCCTGCTGTGTTCATCCAGCTCTACACCTTGTTATCTCAGACACTTGGTGAAAATTGCTTGATTGGTTTTGAATTTCTAAACGTAACATGTACATTCAAATAACAATTTGATTTGGTAAGAGTAATATTTTCCAAATCAGAAAGTTGTAGTTTTAGACTTATTTGGGAATTAAGTTGAGTGCAAAATCTTGATTGATTAGTGCTATGAAGAACCAAGAGAATGCTGTGTTGTTGGAAATGCCATTTTGCAACTAGGGTTGTCAGATGAATGCTTAATATTCTATTGCACAATTTAAAGAAACTGAGGTAGATTGCCCTGTATTTTGTCCAAATTAGCTACTGTTTTCAGGCACACCACACATACCTTAAGACCAAAAGATAGGAGAAGAATTAGGCCATTCAGCTCATTGAGTCTGGTCCACTATTCAATCATAGCTCATATGTTTCTCAACCCCAATTTCCTACCCTCTTTCCCCCAACCCTTGATCTGCTTACCAATCAAGAACCTATCGATCTCTGTCTTAAATTCATTCAATCACTTGGCCTCCGCAACCCTCTGCGGCAATGATTTCCACAGATTAACCATTCTCTGGTTGAAGAATTTCCTTCTCATCTCAGTTCTAAAAGATTATCCTTTCATTCTGAGGCAGTGCTCTTGGTCCTAGTCTCTCCTACTAGTGAAAAATCTTATCCATGTCCTCTCTATCCTGGCCTCTCAGTAGTCTGTAAGTTTCAATGAGATCTGCCCTCATCCTTCTAAACTGCATTAAGTACAAGCCCAGACTCCTCATATGACAAGCCCTTCATCCCAAGTCATTCTTATAAACGTTCTCTAGACATCCTCCAACACAGCAAAAACTTCCTTAGATATGGGGACCAAAACGGCGCACAATATTCTAAACGCGGTCTGACCAGAGCCTTAGCCTCAGCACTACAGCCCTACTGTTGTATTCTAGCCTTTTCAAAATGAAAGCTAACTATATTTGTCTTCCTGAATGCCAGGTGAACCTGCACATTAACCTTAAGAGAATCATGAACTGGGACTCTCAAATCTCTTTGGGCTTCAGATTTCCAAAGCTTTCACCCATTAAGAAAATAGTTTACATCCCTATTCTTCCTAGCAAAGTGCACGACCTCACACTTTACAACATCGTATTCCATCCATCACTGCTTTGTCCACTCTCATAGCCTGTCTAAGTTTTTCTGCAGCCTTCCTTCTCTCTGAATGCTACCTGTCCCTGCACCTATCTTTGTGTAATCTGCAAACTTAGCAACAATGCCTCAGTTCTTTCATCCAGATTGTTAATGTATAACATGAATCGTTATTGTCTCAACACAGACCCCTGTGGAACTCCACTAATAACCTCCTGCCATCCTGAAAAATATCCCTAGTCTCTGCCTTCTGCCAGTCAGCTAATCTTCTATCCATATACGATTTATTTGATGTGATTTTAGACAATCTATTCAGAACAGTTTGCTGGAGTAATATCAAAATTGCCAGGGATGAATGTCATGTTAAACTATTTGATTTAGTGACAAGTTAACAGTAATGGTAAGAAGGAAACACCTTTCAAATTGTAATCATCAAATAATGTTGGTGTGACATAGTATTTAAACATGCGCATGAGCCGAAGATCATGAGCAGAGATGTTTTATTCCTCTGGCACAAGTGTTTACAAACATGAAGGAAAACAAGAACTAAGAAAGCAAAGTATTTACATGGAACTAAACTTGTAGTTCACATCTCATTCAGGAAATGCTTTTCAGTCTCTCCCACTTTCTGTGAGGCCTTTTTTAAATGAAAACATCCTTTCCTCAGAGGATGTCCACTCAACTGCTCAAGTTTCCCTGCTTAATGCTCTCCCTCACTTTGCTACCTGTTGCTGGATGCCCTATCATACACTTACTGAATTGAGACTCGCCATCATGGCAGCTACACACAATATAGTGGGACTGTTTGTGAAGCAGTTATGTGATCAGCAAGTTTAATTGCACAATAATGGTCAGAATTTTTGGGTCCATGTTAGTAGCAATACTTTATTCTTCCATCAGTGCTAAGTATTTGGGTGATATGTAACATTTTCTCAAGAGAATCTTCTCAGCCTCTTGTCTGTACAAAGAGTTTTCATGGCATCCGGGCTCTGTGGTGGATCACCCAGGTTGGGGTCTAGGTTGGTCAGGACTTATTGTTTCAGCTGACAGATCTTCCTTGCTCCAGGGCTGGAGTAGATCTCCCTGCCCATGGATTCAGCTCCATGGATTCACAGCACACTGGTCACTCTGATTCCTCATCACTAATCAACATGTGCTTTACTAGAGACATCATGCACCAGTACTTCAGATTCCACAATATGGCTGAGTGAGCTGTTTGTCTCCACATCATCCACCAGACATTTGGCCTCTGTGAACTATTTTCAGATACTACCCTCTAGCTGCTGGTTTAACAACTTAGGTGTGGTCACCTGGATCCAGCCTCTTGATGACTCTGTCAGGTTCAGAATCCCAAACATTTTGTATCTTATTTGGACCATGGATATTCCGATTTCAGAGGAGTACCATTCTGTTGATTAGAAGGTTAGACCTGTCAGTCTTATGATTTTTCAATGCTTATGTATCTTTATCCTCTTGGCCTCCATCTAAAATGCCTGGCTTAGCTCATGAGATACTCAGCTATCCACTCATCGACCTGGTCATCTCCATCAGGAGTGGAGAGCCAAAAGATGTTACATGGAAATGAATGGGCCTTCTGTTGAGAATGGCCTTGGATGAGTGCAGTGCACTATTATAAGCCTAAACAAGCTCTGGAAAATAATTATGCCAAGATGAATTTCCAAGAAAATCATCAAGATGAGGGAACATGGGATTGGGACATCATAGCTTTTATAGAAACTTGATGGAAAGAACTGGCAGCTCAATGTTCCAGGTTTCAAATGCTATAGGAAGGACGGGCAAAGAGGCAAAAGAGGAGACAGAGTTGTGTTTTTGAGTAAGAGAAACATTACTTTTGTAACTAACGACGATATTTCTGAAAAATTGTCCAGTGAAAATATATGGGTTGAAATTAGAAATTAGAAAGGAATGATCACCTTGATGGGGTTGTTCTGTAGACCTTCCAATAGTCAGAGGGAAATAGAGGAACAAATATGTAGAGAGATATGTAAGAATAATAAGGTTGTAATAGTGTGTGATTTTAATTTTCGAAGCATTTTGACTGGGACTACCATGGTGTTTACAGGTTTGGACGGTGAAGAATTTGTTAAATGTGTTCAAGAAAATTTTCTTTATCAATATGTGCTTGCTTCTACTAGAGAAAGAGCAAAACTAGACTTTCTTTTGAGCAATAAGATAGGGGAAGTGACTGAAGTGATAGTAGGGGAACACATTGGGTCTAGTGATCGTAGTTCTATTTGTTTTAAAATAGGTATGGAAAAGGATAAGCTTTCCACAAAAATTAAAGTTTTTAATTGGGGTAGGACAAATTTTAATGAAATGAGACAAGAACATTCAAAATTGATTGGAGTAGACTGTACATAGGTAAAGGGACTTTTGATAAATGGGAGGCTTTCAAAAGTATGATATTGAGAGTTCAGAGTCATTATGTTCCAGTTAGAGTGAAAGGTAAGGCTGGTAGGCTTCAAGAACAATAGATGAATAAAGATATTGAAGTTCTAGTCAAAAATAAAAGAAAGTCATATATTAGATGTGGACAATAGGATTCAAATGAATCTCTTAGACAATATAAAGAGTGTAGGGGCATTCTTAAGAGGGAGATCAGGAAGGCAAGGGGAGGAAATGTGATGGCCTTGACCAATATGATTCAGGAAAATTGAAAGAGATTCTACAAGTACTTTAACAGAGAGAGAGTAGGGCTCCTTAACGGTCAAAAAGGTCATCTTTGTGTTGTACCTCAGGAGATGGGAGAGATATCAGATTTCACATATTTCCCGTATAAATAATTCACATCAATTTTTAGTGCGGAGAAAGAAGTGGAGGCTAGAGAACTCAGAAATAAATATTGATATTTTGAAAACAGTTCACATTACAGAAGAGGAAATGATAGAAGTCTTAGAAAATATAAAGGTGGATAAATCTCCAGGACCTGATCCAGTGTGACCCAGGACTTTGTTGGAAATTAAGAAGGAAATCGCAAGCCCCCCTTAAGAAATATTTGTAGCATCTATAAATACAGGTGAAATGTCGAAAGACTGGAGGATGGCTAATGTTGTGCCTTTATTAAAGAAGCCTGGAAACTATAGACCTGTGAGTCTGACTTTGGTGGGTAAGTTGTTGAGAGTGATTCTGAAAGATAGGATTTATGTGCATTTGGAGAGTCAATGAATGATCAGAAATAGTCAGCATGGTTTTGTGCGAGGGAAATCATGTCTCACAACCTTGATTGAATTTTTTGAGGAAGTAACTGGGAAGATTGCTGAGGACAGAGCGATAGACATTGTTTACTTGGACTTTCACAATGTTATGCATGGTGAACTAATTAGTAAAGCTAGACCACATGAAATTCAGCGTGAGCTTGCCAATTGGTTACAAAATTGGCTTAACAGCAGGAGACAGAGTGTAATGGTGGAGGGTTGTTTTTCGGAC